CTCATGTCATGTGTCTCATGTCATGTGTCTCATGTCATGTGTCTTATGTCATGTGTTATTTACCGCGCATCAGCTGTTCAATCAAGTGCCCAAGGTGCTGGCTGGCGCGAAACGATGTGCCACAGGGGGTCACTCTCACAACAAGGCTGCCGCTCGCCTGCATTCCGTGCAAGATACGGAAGGGAAAGAAAGAAAGAGGCGAGGATGGGATGAGAGAACCGTAGGGTCGTATAGGCGCGCGACTCTGCACCGCCGCCCGTTCTCCCAATGATTTCGTTCTCCCAATGATTTCGTTCTCCCAATGATTTCGTTCTCCCAATGATTTCGTTCTCACAATTAGAAAGCACCCGCTTGCGTTCCATGGAGGTGCCACTTTCCCTGTGACGACATGGCCTCCACGTTCCCTGTGACGACATGGCCTCCACGTTCCCTGTGACGACATGGCCTCCACGTTCCCTGTGACGACATGGCCTCCACGTTCCCTGTGACGACATGGCCTCCACGTTCCCTGTGACGACATGGCCTCCACGTTCCCTGTGACGACATGGCCTCCACGTTCCCTGTGACGACATGGCCTCCACTTATGCTGCGACGACATGGCCTCCACTTATGCTGCCGTGCCGCCGCTCGTCTGCTTTTCCTTTTCCCACCATCACCGCTTTTCCCCATTCGTGTGTGTCCCCATCTCCGTGTGCCCCGCCCCTACCATCACCCCATCACCGCCACTGCGTGCCACGTGTGCACCCCATCACCGCCACTGCGTGCCACGTGTGCAGGTGCGGGAGCACGTGCTGGTGGCGTCGCTGCTGCTCAGCTGGTCCATCACTGAGGTGCGCTGGGGGCACGCTGGGGGCACGCTGGGGGCACGCTGGGGGTACGCGGGGGGTACGCGGGGGGTGCACGCAGGGTGCACGCAGGGTGCGCGCAGGGTGCGCGCAGGGTTCATTGGGGCTGCATGGGGGTTGTGTGGGGGGAGTGGGGGGAGGTGCGTGGGGGGTGCGTTTGGGTTGCGTGCGGTGAACGTGTGAGGAATGAAGCGAGAGAGGGCGGGAGGGAAGGACAGGAAAGAGTCAAGGAAGGAGAGAAGGAGCGAGTGAGCTGAGGTGAGAGGCGAGTTTGGTGGAGGCCCGTAGGTGGAGGGTATACACGACACGGCAGCACGCTATTACCATTTGCGAGACGGGCCAGCAGGAGTGCCAGAGTGTAGGCTCACCCTTTCACACTCCACAACCCCCAATCCCCCTCCCATACCTGCTGCACGGCGCGAGACCTCCAACAGCTGCGCCCAAACTTGTCCACGTGCTCTGGGCATGTCACCCCACCCTCATACGCTCCAGCACCTGACTGGCATCGCATCGCCTCACAGCTATGGGCTCCCCCTTCTCCGCTCTACCCTCCTCCTTCTCCCTCCCCACGCCCCTCACGTCTCCCACTCTTCCGCCCTTCTTCCCCCTTCCCCGCGCCTGTGCTTGCCGTGTGTGCTGTGCTTGCCGTGTGTGCTGTGCTTGCCGTGTGTGCTGTGCTTGCCGTGCGTGCTGTGCTTGCTGTATGTGCTGTGCTTGCTGTGTGTGCTGTGCTTGCTGTGTGTGCTGTGCTTGCTGTGTGTGCCTGTGTCTGAGTCTCTCAGATCGTGCGCTACTCCTTTTTCGCCGTCAAGGAGGCCTTTGGCTTCACGCCCGCGCCTCTGCTCTGGCTCAGGTACGAAGCACCCCATGCGCCCCCATTATCTCGCACTCCATGCTCTTCTCACTCCCTTCCCTACCCCTCGCACTCCCTACCCCTCGCACTCCCTACCCCTCGCACTCCATGCCCCTTGCACCCCATGTCGTTTTCGCATTCCCCAGCCACCCCTCCACCTTGACTTGATCATGTCTGCAGTCCTCTCTTCCTCGGTCTTCCAACCCCTCACCACTCCCCACCCCATTCCTTCCTTCTCCTTCTGACCTGCTTGCACCATGGTTGCTTCTCTCCCTCCCATCCCCTGTGCGCCACCCTGCACCCACCAACCTTCACTCAACCCATGCTGCTGTGCACCCGTTCTCCCTCCGCTATCTCCCTTCCCCCTACGCCATTCCTCTTCCCCCATCTCCCGCTACGCCATTCCTCTTCCCCCATCTCCCTGAGCACACCAGGTACAGCTAAGGGTGAAAATCGAATGCCCGGTTCGAATCTTCCCCCATCTCCCGCTACGCCGTTCCTCTTCCCCCATCTCCCGCTACGCCGTTCCTCTTCCCCCATCTCCCTTCCCCCTACCCTATTTCTCTCCCCCCATCTCCCTTCCCCCTACCCTATTTCTCTCCCCCCATCTCCCTTCCCCCTACCCTATGTCTCTCCCCCCATCTCCCTTCCCCCTACCCTATTTCTTTCCCCCCATCTCCCTCCCCCCTACCCCATTTCTCTCCCCCCATCTCCCTTCCCCCTACCCCATTTCTCTCCCCCCATCTCCCTTCCCCCTACCCTATTTCTCTCCCCCCATCTCCCTTCCCCCTACCCCATTTCTCTCCCCCCATCTCCCTTCCCCCTACCCCATTTCTCTCCCCCCATCTCCCTTCCCCCGACCCCATTTCTCTCCCCTCATCTCCCTTCCCCCTACCCCATTTCTCTCCCCCCATCTCCCTTCCCCCTATCCCATTTCTCTCCCCCCATCTCCCTTCCCCCTACCCCATTTCTCTCCCCCCATCTCCCTTCCCCCTACCCCATTTCTCTCCCCCCATCTCCCTTCCCCGTACAGCCAAGGGTAAATATCGAATGCCCGGTTCAAATCTCGAGTAGTCATCGAGTACCTCCCAACTCGTTTTTCACCCTTAGCTACAGCATGTTCCACGTGCTCTACAGCATGTTCCACGTGCTGTACCCTTCAGGCACCAGCCCTCACTCTCCTCCATGCTGATGTGCACCCCTTCCCCCCTCCCCCCCTCTCCCTCCTCCACCGTGTCTCTCATGGCCCATGGCCGTGCGCACACCAGGTACAGCATGTTCTACGTGCTCTACCCGTCGGGCATCACCAGTGAAGTGGGGCTCGCCCTCCTCGCGCTGCCCTACCTCAAGGTTTGCCTCGCTCTCTCTCTCTCGCTCGCCCTGCTCCATGTGTCTCCTACTCACTGTCCCTGCACTGTCCCTCGCGGTATCTCCACACACTCTCCCTGTGTTTATGCCCTCAAAGTATCTTCACTCACTTTCGCTGTGTCTATACTCGCATCACAAGGTATCTCCCCTCAGTCCGCCAAGGTATATTCCCCCCCTCACCATACGCAATCCCAAGCCCTCCTGCTCTCACTCCATTCGGCATCTGTTTTTGCATCCGCACCTCAGATGTTGGCATGGTGTCCGGGGCGTGGCATGTTGGGACACTTTGCCTTATCAACTCTTTCCCTCATTGCCAACTCTTTCCCTCATTGCCAACTCTTTCCCTCATTGCCAACTCTTTCCCTCATTGCCAACTCTTTCCTTGGGCTGTTTTAACTGTATTTAGCCCTAACTTCCAGTCGGAATAAACAAAGTACCAGCTCGTTCTATGTGGTCCACTAGCCTGTTTTTAGCCCCTTTTTTTAGACAGTTTTTTCTTCACTTCAAACCTTACCGTACCACATATTGTTTCACTCATCACAGTGTTGAGCTGTTCCCCCCCCCCTTCCACCCTGCCAGGCATCCCACGTGTTCTCGTTTGACATGCCCAATAAGGCCAACTTTGCTGTTGACTATTACCTCGTCTGCATCCTCATTCTCCTCACCTACATCCCCGGTACGTTGTACTTGGCACACAAGTTGTTCCTGACGGTTGAAACGAACCCACTCGTAATTGTGTCGGAATCCATCGTTATTCCCTTGAGTTTCTGCTTGGGGACCCAAAGGCTGCGTCCATTACTTGTCGCTAACATACAGTGTGTCTGGCATGGCAGGGAGCCCATACATGTACACATACATGATGGGGCAGAGGAAGAAGGCCCTGGGAAAGAAGGACAAGACTGCATAACATTCCCTTTTCACTACCATGTGGTTAGACTGACAAATGCTTGCCAAGGTTAAGATTCTCTCATAAGCAGTATGGCGTAAGGTGTATGCTTGAAGCCAGGATCTCATGTAGTTCAATGATTTTGCAGTTTATGAGTAGAGTTAGGCTGGGTTAGGTTGGCAAGGTACAGAAGTTGACATGGCGCACGCTTTAAAGCCCGAGGTCAGCATGGTAAATTTTCAAGTTATGTGGATATGAAATAGGCTATACATGAGGCTCTGCGAAACCTATTTCGGTTATGTGCCTTTGGCGAGAACTACTTTCCTCCGCGAACGAGTGAACATCTCGCGGACACCAAAAATGCGAATCCCACCAAATCAAAGCGGAAAATGTGTCGCACGAAGAGACACTCTAGCCAAACCGAAAGTTTCGCACACTTGGCGTCTCTTACGACGAGCATCGAAAGTGTGGCTGCATGAGTAGTCTCCTCACCACTGCTATTGGAAAATAGATAAACAGAGCGACGCATCTGCTACTTACAACGCCACCTACTAAGAGAGCGCCGCGCAGCGTAAAATACGCAGAATTTAGGATCGATACAAGCGCATACACAAAGTCGTTGTGCTCGCGAGGGTGAGTGAAGCCACCTCACCACGCCTGTTCACGCACCTCCCTTAGTGGCTCAAGAAGTCGCGCATCCCCTTCCCTCATCGAGCTTCTCCCCTCATCGCGCTTCCCATTGTCGCGTTCCCCCGCCCATCGCGCCACCCCCCTTCGCGCCACCCATCCTTCCGTCGCGCAGCCTCTCGTGCCTCGTCTCCCGTCGTCGCGTCTCCCCTCGCCGCGCCTCCTGTCCCATCCTCACGCCTCCCCTCGTTTCCGGGAGCCTCCCCACGTCGCGCCTCCGCTCGTCTCGCCGCGCCTCCGCAGGCCGCGCCGCGCCTCCGCTCGTTGCGCCGCGCCTCCGCTCACCTCGCCGCGCCTCTGCTCGTCTCGCCGCGCCTCCGCAGGCCGCGCCGCGCCTCCGCTCGCTGCACCGCGCCTCCGCTCACCTCGCCGCGGCGCCTCCCCTGCACACCAGCTCCACCCGCATGGCCTTGCACACCAGCTCCACCCGCATGGCCTTGCACACCAGCTCCACCCGCATGGCCTTGCACACCAGCTCCACCCGCATGGCCTTGCACACCAGCTCCACCCGCATGGCCTTGCACACCAGCTCCACCCGCATGGCCTTGCACACCAGCTCCACCCGCATGGCCTTGCACACCAGCTCCACCCGCATGGCCTTGCACACCAGCTCCACCCGCATGGCCTTGCACACCAGCTCCACCCGCATGGCCTTGCACACCAGCTCCACCCGCATGGCCTTGCACACCAGCTCCACCCGCATGGCCTTGCACACCAGCTCCACCCGCATGGCCTTGCACACCAGCTCCACCCGCATGGCCTTGCACACCAGCTCCACCCGCATGGCCTTGCACACCAGCTCCACCCGCATGGCCTTGCACACCAGCTCCACCCGCATGGCCTTGCACACCAGCTCCACCCGCATGGCCTTGCACACCAGCTCCACCCGCATGGCCTTGCACACCAGCTCCACCCGCATGGCCTTGCACACCAGCTCCACCCGCATGGCCTTGCACACCAGCTCCACCCGCATGGCCTTGCACACCAGCTCCACCCGCATGGCCTTGCACACCAGCTCCACCCGCATGGCCTTGCACACCAGCTCCACCCGCATGGCCTTGCACACCAGCTCCACCCGCATGGCCTTGCACACCAGCTCCACCCGCATGGCCTTGCACACCAGCTCCACCCGCATGGCCTTGCACACCAGCTCCACCCGCATGGCCTTGCACACCAGCTCCACCCGCATGGCCTTGCACACCAGCTCCACCCGCATGGCCTTGCACACCAGCTCCACCCGCATGGCCTTGCACACCAGCTCCACCCGCATGGCCTTGCACACCAGCTCCACCCGCATGGCCTTGCACACCAGCTCCACCCGCATGGCCTTGCACACCAGCTCCACCCGCATGGCCTTGCACACCAGCTCCACCCGCATGGCCTTGCACACCAGCTCAGCTCCACCCGCATGGCCTTGCACACCAGCTCCACCCGCATGGCCTTGCACACCAGCTCCACCCGCATGGCCTTGCACACCAGCTCCACCCGCATGGCCTTGCACACCAGCTCCACCCGCATGGCCCTGCACACCAGCTCCACCCGCATGGCCTTGCACACCAGCTCCACCCGCATGGCCTTGCACACCAGCTCCACCCGCATGGCCTTGCACACCAGCTCCACCCGCATGGCCTTGCACACCAGCTCCACCCGCATGGCCTTGCACACCAGCTCCACCCGCATGGCCTTGCACACCAGCTCCACCCGCATGGCCTTGCACACCAGCTCCACCCGCATGGCCTTGCACACCAGCTCCACCCGCATGGCCTTGCACACCAGCTCCACCCGCATGGCCTTGCACACCAGCTCCACCCGCATGGCCTTGCACACCAGCTCCACCCGCATGGCCTTGCACACCAGCTCCACCCGCATGGCCTTGCACACCAGCTCCACCCGCATGGCCTTGCACACCAGCTCCACCCGCATGGCCTTGCACACCAGCTCCACCCGCATGGCCTTGCACACCAGCTCCACCCGCATGGCCTTGCACACCAGCTCCACCCGCATGGCCTTGCACACCAGCTCCACCCGCATGGCCTTGCACACCAGCTCCACCCGCATGGCCTTGCACACCAGCTCCACCCGCATGGCCTTGCACACCAGCTCCACCCGCATGGCCTTGCACACCAGCTCCACCCGCATGGCCTTGCACACCAGCTCCACCCGCATGGCCTTGCACACCAGCTCCACCCGCATGGCCTTGCACACCAGCTCCACCCGCATGGCCTTGCACACCAGCTCCACCCGCATGGCCTTGCACACCAGCTCCACCCGCATGGCCTTGCACACCAGCTCCACCCGCATGGCCTTGCACACCAGCTCCACCCGCATGGCCTTGCACACCAGCTCCACCCGCATGGCCTTGCACACCAGCTCCACCCGCATGGCCTTGCACACCAGCTCCACCCGCATGGCCTTGCACACCAGCTCCACCCGCATGGCCTTGCACACCAGCTCCACCCGCATGGCCTTGCACACCAGCTCCACCCGCATGGCCTTGCACACCAGCTCCACCCGCATGGCCTTGCACACCAGCTCCACCCGCATGGCCTTGCACACCAGCTCCACCCGCATGGCCTTGCACACCAGCTCCACCCGCATGGCCTTGCACACCAGCTCCACCCGCATGGCCTTGCACACCAGCTCCACCCGCATGGCCTTGCACACCAGCTCCACCCGCATGGCCTTGCACACCAGCTCCACCCGCATGGCCTTGCACACCAGCTCCACCCGCATGGCCTTGCACACCAGCTCCACCCGCATGGCCTTGCACACCAGCTCCACCCGCATGGCCTTGCACACCAGCTCCACCCGCATGGCCTTGCACACCAGCTCCACCCGCATGGCCTTGCACACCAGCTCCACCCGCATGGCCTTGCACACCAGCTCCACCCGCATGGCCTTGCACACCAGCTCCACCCGCATGGCCTTGCACACCAGCTCCACCCGCATGGCCTTGCACACCAGCTCCACCCGCATGGCCTTGCACACCAGCTCCACCCGCATGGCCTTGCACACCAGCTCCACCCGCATGGCCTTGCACACCAGCTCCACCCGCATGGCCTTGCACACCAGCTCCACCCGCATGGCCTTGCACACCAGCTCCACCCGCATGGCCTTGCACACCAGCTCCACCCGCATGGCCTTGCACACCAGCTCCACCCGCATGGCCTTGCACACCAGCTCCACCCGCATGGCCTTGCACACCAGCTCCACCCGCATGGCCTTGCACACCAGCTCCACCCGCATGGCCTTGCACACCAGCTCCACCCGCATGGCCTTGCACACCAGCTCCACCCGCATGGCCTTGCACACCAGCTCCACCCGCATGGCCTTGCACACCAGCTCCACCCGCATGGCCTTGCACACCAGCTCCACCCGCATGGCCTTGCACACCAGCTCCACCCGCATGGCCTTGCACACCAGCTCCACCCGCATGGCCTTGCACACCAGCTCCACCCGCATGGCCTTGCACACCAGCTCCACCCGCATGGCCTTGCACACCAGCTCCACCCGCATGGCCTTGCACACGAGCTCCTCCATCTCCTCCTCGCTCACCGCCTGGTACCATGCATGCACACATGCACGTCAGAGGAGACACATGCACGCACTCACACATACGCACGCACGCACGCGCGCACACACAAACAAAAACACAACCACAGATACATACACAAACATGCACATGGACACACACAGAAATGCATGGACACATACAAACAGGAGACAGGAGTGCAGGCAGAGCTGAAGGAAGGCTCTTAGGCACTGAAGAGCGTGAGAGAGAGGTGAGGTGAGGTGAGGTGCGAGGAGAGAACATGTGTGACCGTGGAATGGGTGGATGCGATTTCAAATACAAAAGTAAAATCATGTTGCATATTTGAAGCATTCCATATCTGACGAGCCAAAGAGACCTACAATCTCCAACCAGCTTGCACGCTTGAAAACTCGTGAGGCACTTTGAGGGAATGTGGGGTACCATGATGTACAGAGAGGGGCTGTGTGGTATGAGGTGGTGAAGTGAGGCACTTTTAGTTGTGCGCAGTAGGCACATGGCGTGCTCCATCTCCGGGCACTGCTGCAGCTGCCGCCGGCCCACCTGGTGTGGGAGGGGATGTGGGAAGTTGAAAGGGGGAGGGGACCGGGGGAGGGGTCGGGGGGAGGGGACAGGGGGGGGGAACTGGGAGGAAGAGCAGGGGAAAGGGACGGGGGGAGGAGAATGGGAAGTATGAGGGGATTTGTGGGAGGAGAGGAGAGGTGGGTGATGGGAAGTGGGTGAGAGATGCATGGCAAGAGATGGTAGGAGGTGGGATGAGGTGCGAGGTGCGAGGAGGTAAGAGGGAAGATACCTGTAGGAGAACGATGGCGAGCTTGAAGACAATTGGCGTGGCCTGCTCCAATGCCGTGATGCGAGATGAGAGACGAGAGATGAGACTTGAGAGATGAGAGATGAGAAATGAGAGATGAGAGATGAGAAATGAGAGATGAGAAATGAGAGATGAGAGGCACCAAGGGGGCGGAAGAAAGGGGGTGGATGAAAGTGAGGGAAGCACACGGAGGCAAGAGGATAGAGGCAAGCACAGGGACACGAGGATAGAGGCAAGCACAGGGACACGAGGATAGAGGCAAGCACAGGGACACGAGGATAGAGGCAAGCACAGGGACACGAGGATAGAGGCAAGCACAGGGACACGAGGATAGAGGCAAGCACAGGGACACGAGGATAGAGGCAAGCACAGGGACACGAGGATAGAGGCAAGCACAGGGACACGAGGATAGAGGCAAGCACAGGGACACGAGGATAGAGGCAAGCACAGGGACACGAGATTGGCACTGACGGAGTGAGAGACACCAAGAGAGTGGAGGAAGCGGGTTGGATGGGGAAAAGGGATGCAAGTTTCTGGAGCCCACTGAGGTGGCAGAGAATGGCAAGCAAGTGAGCGGAGGGGAAGGGGTGGATTGGAGGTGGTAAGGTGATGTTGGGGTGGGCCGTGGCGGGGGGTGGAGTGCATGGGGTGAGGGGAGAGGGGAACAACGATGAAAAGAATAGTGGTTGCTGTAGTGTTGGGATGCCGTGTCAAAGCTGAAGAGAGCATGGTGTTGTGAGGCATGGTGATTGAACACAATAGCTGAGACACATCAGAAGAACAGGTATGGCATGGCCCGGCGTCGGCTAGCATAGCATGGCATGACATGGCATGGCGTGGCATGGCATAGCGTGGGCCGCGGCATGGCATAGCCTGGCATGGCATAGCGTGGCATAGAATGGCGTGGCATGGCATAGTGTGGCATGGCATAGCGTGGCATGGCATAGCGTGGCATGGCATAGAGTGGCATGGCATAGCATGGCATGGCATAGCGTGGCATGGCATAGAGTGGCATGGCATAGCATGGCATGGCATAGCGTGGCATGGCATAGCAGGGCATGGCATAGAGTGGCATGGCATAGCGTGGCATGGCATAGCGTGGCATGGCATAGTGTGGCACATGGCATAACGTGGCATGACATAGAGTGGCATGGCATAACATGGCATGGCATAGCGTGGCATGGCATAGTGTGGCACATGGCATAACGTGGCATGACATAGAGTGGCATGGCATAACATGGCATGGCATAGCGTGGCATGGCATAGCGTGGCATGGCATAGCGTGGTATGGCATAGCGTGGCATGGCATAGCGTGGCATGGCATAGCGTGGCATGGCATAGCGTGGCATTGGGTGTGTCATACGGGTTTGATGTCGAGGTGTTCGAAGAAGGCACGCACGCGTGGCAGAGTGTGGATGAGTGGTGGGTGAGCTGGTACATGCGCACTTGCAGCTGGGTGAGCTGGTACATGCGCACTTGCAGCTGGGTGAGCTGGTACATGCGCACTTGCAGCTGGGTGAGCTGGTACATGCGCACTTGCAGCTGGGTGAGCTGGTACATGCGCAATTGCAGCTGGGTGAGCTGGTACATGCGCACTTGCAGCTGGGTGAGCTGGTACATGCGCACTTGCAGCTGGGTGAGCTGGTACATGCGCACTTGCAGGTGGGTGAGCTGGTACATGCGCACTTGCAGGTGGGTGAGCTGATACATGCGCACTTGCAGGTGGGTGAGCTGGTACATGCGCACTTGCAGGTGGGTGAGCTGGTACATGCGCACTGCAGGTGGGTGAGCTGGTACATGCGCACTTGCAGCTGTGTGTGTGGGGGCTACAGGGGCACACATCGTCAATCATACGAACGGGCATTCACACGAACGGGCATTCACACAAACGGGCATTCACACATAGGGGAAGTCACACACACGGGCATTCACAGGCATTCTCACACATGAATGCACATGACATATGCAAGCACATGCACATTGATATAAACGCATGCACACATGGTGATGCACACACGGTGATGCACACACGGGGATGCACACATGGTGATGCACACACGGTGATGCACACACTGTGATGCACACACGGTGATGCACACACGGGGATGCACATACGGGGATGCACACACGGTGATGCACACACGGGGATGCACACACGGTGATGCACACCCGGGATGCACACACGGGGATGCACACACGGGGATGCACACACGGTGATGCACACACGGGGATGCACACACGGTGATGCACACACGGTGATGCACACACGATGATGCACACACGGTGATGCACACACGGTGATGCACACACGGTGATGCACACACGGTGATGCACACACCGTGATGCACACACGGTGATGCACACACGGTGATGCATACACGGTGATGCACACACGTTGATGCACACACGGTGATGCACACACGGTGATGCACACACGGGGATGCACACACGGGGATGCACACACGGATGCACACACTGATGCACACACGGATGCACACACGGTGATGAACACACGGTGATGCACACACGGGGATGCACACACGGGGATGCACACACGGGGATGCACACACGGGGATGCACACACGGGGATGCGCACACGGGGATGCGCACACGGGGATGCGCACACGGGGATGCGCACACGGGGATGCGCACACGGGGATGCGCACACGGGGATGCGCACACGGGGATGCGCACACAGGCGTGCACACACGGGGGTGCACACACGGGGGTGCACACACGGGGGTGCACACACGGGGGTGCACACACGGTGATGCACACACTCGGATGCACACACGGTGATGCACACACGGGGATGCACACACGGTGATGCACACACGGGGATGCACACACGGGGATGCACACACGGTGATGCACACATGGTGATGCACACACGGTGATGCACACACGGTTCTGCACAAACAGTGATGCACACACGGTGATGCATACACGGTGATGCACACACGGTGATGCACACACGGTGATGCACACACGGGGATGCACACACGGGGATGCACACACGGTGATGCACATACGGGGATGCACACACGGTGATGGACAAACGGTGATGCACACACGGTGATGCACGCACGGGGATGCACCCACGGGGATGCACGCACGGGGATGCACGTACGGAGATGCACTGTCGTGGTATTATGTAGACCATGGAGGGCAACATTATGCCGAGACAGCAGCTGTGGCATAAGGCGTGTGCATGACAAATCAGTGAGATGAGTTTCATTGGGGCAAGTGTAAGCGGAACAAGGAGCAGCAGACGAACGGGCTGCGGTGTACATATTTTGTACCATAGCGAGGACGAGCCTTGAGCAAGTGAATGTCGGGAGAGGGTTTTGGGGGGGGGGTTTGCGTGTTTTCTTTGTATGAATGCTATTCTGTGCTGTGGCAGGGCGAGCGCTGCTAACGAGGATACGAGCAGCACGGCCGACAGGTGGCGAGGGCTGCAAGTGCACATGCGAGACAACCGGGCAGCTGGCACAGTTTCTGGTGCCAAACCACATGCAGCCCCAAACCGCCAGCGGCTTGTACATACGACTCGGGAAGCCCGAGCCTCGCTCACGCATGATCTTTGTCTGTCCTTTCCGCTGAAGCACTAGGCTAGGGCAGTCAATCTCATCTTGTACATAGAGCTACTGAGCCCTAGTGCTAGGTGCTTCGTCGTATGTTTCCTGCTTTTTCTCAATGTAAACCTTTTAAACCAACACGGGTAGAATCAAGAATACCAGGAGCCAGCTAGTCGGCCTAGATGGGTTAGTGAGGTTTTCTGACATACGACGAAGGAAATCTCACCACAAGATAGGACGCATCGGTGAATGCAGCTACGCTCTGGAAGATGATACGAATTGCCTCCGGATCCGCCGGTGATGGCGACTCCAGGATGGCGAGCAGGAGACGCGGTGGGAGAGACCGTCGGCACGCAAGCAGGAGGATCTGGAGGCGCGCCGACGAGAGAAGCGTACACGGCGCCGCATCGGAGGCACAGCATGAGTGACCTGCCGACCGGGGGGCTTGACGCCTTTCACAGCTCGTCCGGTAGACCCCTCGCAGAAGTGGGTGAGACCGTTGAGCCGCCGCGGAGCGGAGATGCCGCACAAGGCACGAGTGCGGAAGGCGAGCTGCTCCGACAGACCAGGAGATTCTCCCTGTCAGAACATCACAACACCGAGGTCATGCGCCCGCCTGTGCGGTATGCGGCGCTGCCAAAGATCGAGGTGCCGGAACGGTTTGCAGGCACTCCGGGCGTGGGAAGCAGCCTTAAGAACTACATGATGCAGATCCGCAACGCGCAATACCGCTGGATGAAGGATGGGCTGGAGCCCGAAGACTTTTTCCGAGGACTTTCAAACACGGTCACGGGAGAAGCGGAGACGGCGTACGGCATGGAATTGGAGCGCATGCTCAGCGAATCGGCAGCTGGGGTCACGTGGGAAGTGGTGACGCAGTTCTTCGCGACGCTTTGCCGACACTTCCCAGTGCAGACACCTGAGCGGATGAAAGAGTTCGCATAATTTCGGAAGAAGCCTGGAGAGTCCTTGCTGGCAACCTATGGCCGACTGCGGGAGCTAGCCTCAGACATGGAGTGTCGCGACGAATGGAGGCTCGTGACGAAATTCCTAAACAGCTTGGACGAAAGGGTGGCAAGTGAAGTACGAGGGAGAGTCTTCGAGATGGGACCGGCGGCCACACTGGAACACGCGTACGAGCTGGCCAAGAAGCAAGAGATGGGTCTGCGGCTGTACGAAATGGAGAGGGGAGGGATGCAACCGGAGGAGCGGCGCAGGCCCGCGTGGTCGGCCGTTTCAACGGGGGAAATTCCCGGCAGGAGGACGGGGCGCGAGACCGAGACGCGCAAGTGTCACCGGTGTGGCCAGGAGGGGCATCTGCAGAGGGACTCCAGCAGGCCACCGAAGTGCGATCACTGCCAAGAGGAGGGACACCTCCGCCGAGACTGCCCCGAAATCCCTAGCTGCGGGAACCGCGGGAGACGCGGGCATCGCACACAGGATTGCTACAGTCGCCGGCCCGGCTCGGCAGGACCGAGGAGCAAGGAAGTTCTGGAGAATCCGCTTCAGCAGCTACAGGTAAGGATTCGAGAGCTGGAGGGCGGTGCACGGAGAGAGCCGGCTATGCTCGCGAAGGAAGAAGAGGGAGAAGGGAGCGAAGCCGAGTTCGTGCTGATGGTGCAAGCACCGCGACAGAGGGAGGAGATCCGGCTCCGCAGCGATGGGCAGGGACGCGCAGATCGGCCAGACCGAGTCATAAGAAGGTTCCGGGGTTACGCGGCAGAACCAGAGCAGGAGATGACGTCTGAACGACACCCAAAGGAAAGGATGGTTTGTCAGCCGTCGGTACTGACCATAGAGAAGGGAGGCATCACGGTGGGCGAGCTAGCTGTGGCGCAAGCCATCATCGACACCGGAGCAAACCATATCCTGCTTGGGAAAGACCTGGCCAAAAGGCTCGAGCTGGATCATCCGAACAGGCTCATAACGAGAGGCATACTGGTAATGACGGCAGAAGGCGGAGAGCCGAAATGGATGCCGTGCACGCGCATGCCGGTGGAAGTGATCCTTCGGCCAGGATCGAAAGACGAATGCCGAATCCGGATGCGCTGCGGGATCTCGCCCTCAGAAGATTACGATCTGCTCATCGGCATGGAGCTGCTGTACCGTATCGGCGCCACCATCTGCACCTGGCAGGAGAAAGTGTTATACCGTGCGCAGTACTGGCGAGATGACGGTCCGGTGGGTACTCTGCCGGTGCACTTCGTGAAAAGAGAGCCCCGAGGAGCCTTCCAAGCCCGCATGGCAGAGATGGACGAGCAACTAGAGGACTGGTCCTGGAGGCAGTACGTGCTGGAGCAGGAGACTCGAAGGGCAGAGGCAGAGAATGCAGAGAGGCCCCTCGCTCTGCCTCCACGGATGACGGATCTGGAGAGGCTACAGAAGCCCCTAACCATCGTGGAATTGTTCCGAGGCGTCGGGACCGGACTGGCGGCGGCGCTCAAGGCAGGGTGCAGAGTGAAGAAATGGGTGCTCGTGGAACTCGACCCAGTGGTGAGGCGCATGGCCATGCACCACGCGAAGAGGCTGAGAGGAATCTACCCCACGCAAATGATGGCAGGAGTGGAGGCGGAAGCTGAGGAAGATATGACACACGACATCAGGGAGGTGGCGCCGGAGGATGTGAAGCGATGGGGGACAGTAGACCTTCTGGTGGCCGAGTGGGAATGCCAAGGGGTCTCGAGAGCCGGAAAGGGCAAGGGGCTGGATGACCCCAGGTCAACCTTGTTTTTGGAGCTGCTGTGGGTGATGAAGCTGGTCTATCAGCAGCACGGAGAGTACCTGTACATCCTAGAGAATCCCGACTTCTCCACGGACTGCAGGGAGCCAGTGCGACGCATGCAGGATGTGGTGGCAGCTGCACTGGGGCCAGGGGTGGCATGGGACGCGGTCCAGCAAAAATCTTACTCACACCGAGTGAGACGCTACTGGCAAAACGGGGTGTCGGAAGGAAAGCTGAGGTGGGAGCTCATACAAACTGAGAGGCCAGCGCCGCGCCCGCTGGAAGACATCCTGGAACCTCACCGCCTGGCAGCCCCCGTGCTCAAGCCGGACCACCCCAGTCAGTTCCAGTGTAACGAGCCAGGGCTACCTCGAGAAGCGTGGCCTACGTTGGTGGCACGCCCAGAGGCACATGGATTCATCTGGAGCAAGGGTCTGCCAGGGCCCGGGATGGTGTATGACCGCATGAAGGATCTATGGGAGGAGCCGACGGTAAGGGAACGTGAGCTGGCGATGGGCTTTCTCCCAGACGCAACAGCAGCCGCAGGGGTGGGAGAGACGCCGAGGCGTGAAGCCCTGGGGAGGGCAATGGATGCGGAGGCAATGCACTGGCTGGTGCATGTGATTCAGATGCATTTGGCATCCAAGCAGTTGGAAATGGAGGCAGAAGTGGGTGGCACAGGGGGCGACACAGAGGAGAAGGTGGGTGCCAGCCAGCGCAGGGCAGAGCAGATCCTGTCGGAACTTCAGATGGAGCGGCCACAGCGGAGGAGCCCTCGCAGCAGACGCGGCTAGCAGCGGAGGAGCCCTCGCAGGAGAAAGCTGGACCGAACCACCAGAAGAAGAGATGCAGCAAGGAACGGCAGGAGAAGAACCAGCGGCGGAGGGAGCAACCAGGAGGGCGCAGGCTGAGACATCCGAAGCGGCCAGGAAGGAAATAGCGCGGGGACCAGAGCACAACCCTATCCCAGCCGAAGCACCGAGAGAGCGGCAGATGGAGCAAGAGGTACACTGGGAGGTGGACGAAGGCCTCACGGGGGAGCTGAAGGAGCAGATGAGGGTGGTACTGAAAGAAAACAGACAGGCATTTGCTTTCACCCTACTTGAGCTAGGCAAGTACAGGGGAGGAGAGATGGAGATAAGGCTGACGGAAGAGATACCGGTGTACCAGCGCAAGCCGAGGATGAGCCCGAGGGATTTGGAGGTGTGCATGGAGAAGTGCCGTGAGCTACTGGAGGCGGGCCTCATCAGGCCCTCAGAGTGAGAGTACGCAGCCGCAACCGTGGTGGCGGCAAGGAAGGAGCTCACCGGAGGAATCCTGTCGCGCCGGATGTGTGGAGACTATCGAGACCTCAACAAACTGACCGTGGCCAACCGCTACCCCATGCCGACGCCAGAAGAAATCTTTGACAAGCTGCAGGGGGCACTGGTGTTCAGCACGCTAGATCTTCGACAGGGCTTTAACCAGATACGCATTGCGGAGGCTGACGTGAAGGAAACCGCATTCCACGGGCCAGATGGGTTGTACGAATGGCTCTTCATGCCATTCGGCCTGAAGAACGCCTCTGCAGTCTTCCAGAAAGCCATGGACCGGGTGCTGAGGAATTTGCAGCACTGCGCAGCCTGTTATATCGATGACGTGGTGGTGTACAGCTCATCCGCGGAGGAGCACGTAAAGGACGTCGGGCAGGTGCTTGAGGTGATCAAAGCAGCAGGACTAACCTGCCACCCCAAAAAGTGCAGGTTCGGGACACTGACGGTGCAATACCTCGGGTTTGAGGTGTGCAGAGGGCAGATGACGATCCAGCAGGCGAAGGTGGCAGTGCTAGACAAGCTGGCGGTGCCCGAGAGCCGGACGGCGCTCAGGGCCATCCTGAGCTTTCTGAACTACTACCGCAAATTCGTGCCCAACTTCAGCAAGCGGGCCGCCAGCTTGAATCAGCTCTTAAGGGAAGATGTGGCGTGGAAATGGGGGGCAACGGAGCAGGGGGCATTACAGGATCTGCTGGACGCGGTAAAGTCAGGGCCTGTGCTGCTGCTGCCGAAACCAGAGGGTAGGTTCACTCTCTACTTGGACTGGAGCAGCGCAGGCATGGGGGCAGTGCTCTGCGAGCAAGGGGAGGAAGGAGAAAGGGTGGTGGCGTTCGCCAGCCGCAGCTGCAACGCGGCAGAAGCAAACTACAGCTCTTACAAAGGCGAGGGGCTAGCGGCGGTGTGGGTAGTGACGCATTTCCGAGTCTACCTGCAAGGACGCGAGTTCACACTGGTTACTGACCACCAGCCCCTTCTATGGCTCATGACCAACCACACCCTGACCGGGCGGAATGCACGATGGGCAATGAGGCTCCAGGAGTCCGACTTCGTGGTCAAACAGAGGCCAGGCCGTACGCTGCAGCACGTCGACGGGCTGTCTCGCAACCCTCCACCCGCAGAGCCGGTGGCGAGCCTGGTGGCGTTGACGAGAGAGGCAGAGAGGCAAGGGGAGCGCCAGGAGGAGCAGCGGGGGGCGCCAGACATCTGGCTGGACGAGGAGACGCTCAGGTGGCTCAGAGGGGAGACCAAAGCGGAAGAACCAGCCTCAGAGAGAGCACGAGCACGAGGGCAGCACTACAGGTGGTACGCGGGGCAGGTCCAGCTGAGAACGAGGGAGGGATGGAAGCTAGTTCCGCCGCCAGCAGAGCGCGAGGGCATCATTCGCCGAGTGCATCAGCAGTTGGGCCACTTCGGGCATGTCAGGACTACCCAGCTGGTCAACACAGGGTGGTGGTGGGCAGGCATGGCGCGGCAGATTCGGGAGCATGTGGGGCAGTGTGAGGCTTGTGACCGCAACCGAGCCCAGCTGGAGCGCAGCCAGCAGCAGCTGCAATCCCTACCCATCCGCGGACTAGGATACAGATGGTCCCTCGACATGGCGGGGGAGCTACCCTTGAGCCGCCGTGGCAAGAAGTACATACTGGTAATGATCGAGCACGTCAGCAAGTGGGTGGAGGTACGGGCCCTCAGCAGTAAGAGCGCGGCCCTGGTGACAGAGGCGTTCACAGAGCAGGTCCTCACTCGGATGGGAGCATGTGGGGAGGTGCTCACCGATCAAGGCACAGAGTTCCGCGGAGAATTCGACAGAGCCTTGACCGCAATTGGGATCACGAGTCGCAGGACCTCCCGCTACCATCCTCAGGCTGACGGGCTCACCAAACGGATGGTGCAGACCCTCAAGCGCGGCCTGAGGGCATATGGGGAGGCCCACCGGCGCACATGGGACGAGGATCTGCACTGGGTGGCGGCTGGGTACCGTTTCAGCAAGCAAGCGGCACTACGAGACGCCTCCCCCTATTACCTGTTGTATGGGCGGGAGCCCATACTGCCAGTGGGAGCTCCAAGGGTGCTCACTGACGTCGTGACAGCAGGTGCACCCGAGCTGTGGGCCGCTCTGGCGAAGGTGCGAGGGGACTATCTGCGGGCACTCCTGCCATCGGCCATGGAAAATCTCCACGTGGCACAGCTGCGCGATGCACACAGGTACCAGGAGCGGTTGGGGGGACAACGCACGCCCGGGGCAGAGCAGTTGCAGCAGGGGCAAGAGGTGTATCGTCGCACGGCGTGGCAGACTGTCCTGGACCGCGGTCTCAGCGAAGAACGGTGGAAGGTGGTGGAAGCCAAGGAGTCTGGAGTCGTAGTGCTGGAGAATCAGCAAGGGCGACGGGTCAGGGATCACGCCACGAACACCGCCCGAGCTCGCACCAGGAGCTCTGGAAGTCTGGAGCTGGGCATGCAGGAGCCGTAGCCAGCTCCAGAGGGGGCAAGTGAGTGGCCATGCTGGATCAAGCAGAGCCCCGCACAAGGAGGCAAGGCAAGCATGAGCCAGAAGAGGGGCAGAGAAAGCATCAGCACCGTGTCCAGAACAGACAGGAGCACTGCAGAGCAACAGAGCAAGATGAGCATGGCAGAGTGGGTAACAGAGAGGCAGGGGAGCCAAGAGATTTCCGACAGCTGTCGCGGTATTATGTAGACCATGGAGGGCAACATTATGCCGAGACAGCAGCTGTGGCTTTAGGCGTGTGCATGACAAATCAGTGAGATGGGTTTCATTGGGGCAAGTGTAAGCGGAACAAGGAGCAGCACACGAACGGGCTGCGGTGTACATATTTTGTACCATAGCGAGGACGAGCCTTGAGCAAGTGAATGTCGGGAGAGGGTTTTGGGGGGGGTTTTGCGTGTTTTCTTTGTATGAATGCTATTCTGTGCTGTGGCAGGGCGAGCGCTGCTAACGAGGATACGAGCAGCACGGCCGACAGGTGGCGAGGGCTGCAAGTGCACATGCGAGAAAACCGGGCAGCTGGCACAGTTTCTGGTGCCAAACCACATGCAGCCCCAAACCGCCAGCGGCTTGTACATACGACTCGGGAAGCCCGAGCCTCGCTCACGCATGATCTCTGTCTGTCCTTTCCGCTGAAGCACTAGGCTAGGGCAGTCAATCTCATCTTGTACATAGAGCTACTGAGCCCTAGTGCTAGGTGCTTCGTTGTATGTTTCCTGCTTTTTCTCAATGTAATCCTTTTAAACCAACACGGGTAGAATCAAGAATAGCAGGAGCCAGCTAGTCGGCCTAGATGGGTTAGTGAGGTTTTCTGGATGCCATGCTGGATCAAGCAGAGCCCCGAACAAGGAGGCAAGGCAAGCATGAGCCAGAAGAGGGGCAGAGAAAGCATCAGCACCGTGTCCAGAACAGACAGGAGCACTGCAGAGCAACAGAGCAAGACGAGCATGGCAGAGTGGGTAACAGAGAGGCAGGGGAGCCAAGAGATTTCCGACAGCACGCACGATGATGCACGCACGGTGATGCACACACGGTGATGCACACACGGTGATACACACTGCTGAAGGTAAGCTAACACCCCAGGCGACGGGTAGCCGTAGGTCTCTACAGCTAGAGCGTGGAAACCCACCTGCCTGGGGTGTTAGCTTGGGGTGTTAGCTTCCACACTGCGTGCCATGCCATGCCATGCACTTGCCTGGGGTGTTAGCTTCCACACTCACACCGTGTGTGCACAAGAGGGCATGGGATGCACACAAGGGGAGGGGGCGAGGGCAAAGGGGGGGAGAGGGCAAGGGGAGGGGGAGAGGGCAAGGGGAGGCGGAGAGGTCAAGGAGAGGCGGAGAGGGCAAGGGGAGGCAGAGAGGGCAAGGGGAGGCGGAGAGGGCAAAGGGAGGCGGAGAGGGCAAGGGGAGGCGGAGAGGGCAAAGGGAGGCGGAGAGGGCAAGGGGAGGCGGAGAGGGCAAAGGGAGGCGGAGAGGGAGAGGGGAGGCAGAGAGGGCAAAGGGAGGCGGAGAGGGCAAGGGGAGGCGGAGAGAGCAAAGGGAGGCGGAGAGGGCAAGGGGAGGCGGAGACGGCAAGGGGAGGCGGAGAGGGCAAGGGGAGGCGGAGAGGGCAAGGGGAGGCGGAGAGGGCAAGGGGAGGCGGAGAGGGCAAGGGGAGGCGGAGAGGGCAAGGGGAACAAGCCTGGCAGTAGCCGACCTCCTTGTCCAACACCTGGTGGGCGCCATGGGCAGGGGAGGGGCGCCCCGGTTGTAGCGATGAGCAGCATCTCGTCGCCGTCGCCCTGTAGCTGCACTCCGCTCTCCTTCAGTTGGCCAGCTAACAACAGGTTCGCCTGTACGCCCGGAACATAGAGCACGTCGGAGATGAGGACCTGCTTCCCGGCCTCCCTTGCAAAGCGACGGTTCCGCGACCCTCGAAAGGCTGCAATGCCCCGTTGAACCCACGCACGTACTTCACCCCATAGCTCGGCCCCATGTCGACGAAGACCGACTTCGTCCCCATCAGGTGGTGGGAGCACCTGCTGTCGAGCAGCACCGCCATCGGGTTGGCCTGCACACCTGGAATGGCTTGGTGTGACGTATCTGGCTGCTCCCCAACGCTTGCCCAAGTAGGAGGTAGCCTTGTGCGCTCTTCCGCACCAACGGGCTCTTCTCCGGGTCGTTTTCGGGGCACTTCTCTGTTCCTTCCATCACCTCCAGCAGGTCATAGTGGTCAAATACGTTCTCCATTCTGAAGGACCACTCAGCAAAGTTATTGCGGGGAGTCACTCTACAACGGTAGTGAGCTAGACTATGGGGGTTGGCACGAACTACTAGAGGTGATCCTAGCTTTGCTTGGTTCCTTAGTGCTTGCACATTCACGGGAGAAATCGGCAAGAGTTTTCACTAGCCAAAGTCGAAATTACAGAACTGATTGAACAAGCAATGTCAGAATGACTACATCCGGCACGTAGCAACCCTGCAGCTAGCCTGGTCGACCGCTAGCACAGCTCGGTCGACCGCCTGCCAGCGTTGCGTAGAGGGGCCGCGCCAGCACTGCGGAAAGGCGACCTGCCAACAGAGCAGGTCGACGGCGTGCCAACGCTGCAGCAGAGCGGCTGTCCAGCGTTGCCCCGTAGAACACAGCAGTGCGCACGCTCGCAGGTGCGCGCAGACAATTGGCCCGACTTGCCTCGTTGGGCATCTGTCGGCTGTTGTCTGCGCCTGACGAGCCACATCGACTTCTGGATACCAGCCGGCAGTCGCCTTCGCCATCGCGACCTCGACGACGTTCGCGTGCCTCCGCAGAACTCGTCGAGTAGGTTGCCCGGTCGACCCGGACGACCACCAGGTGCTTCCGGTCGACCACCACTGCTTCTGGTCGACCCCCAGGTCCCTATGGTCGACCACAACTCCCGTCGAGCTACCCCCTGGTCGACGGACCCCTTCCGTCGACCAGAACCGTCAGCGGTTGTCGCCGAGCTCCCCTCGTCGACTTCTGCTCACTTGTCAGGTCGACGGACTCCTCAGTCGACCTCCCGGTCGAACTGTAGGTCGACGGGATGCTCCGGAGACCTCCAGCTCGAACGGCAGGTCGACGGGATGCTTCGGAGACGTCCTGGTCGAGCTGTAGGTCCTGGTCGACGTCCCACCTGTCGCCCAGACCAGTTTGTTTCAGCTGTCAAGCTTCCTGGTCGACAGCAACACCACAGCGGTCCCCTGCAGCTCGACAAAGTCTGTCGAGCAGCTCTCCCACTGTGAACGGTCGGCTGCTACTCCTGTACATCCGACCAAGTCGTCGTCGTTGCCCAAGCGAGGGCGGGCCCAACACTCCATTCCTGTGAACAGAATCAAGCCTCGTAAGGAGAAGCAGTCGACCAAGTCGACCTCGACAAAGGACGCCGACTCTTTTGCTGGCGGCAAGGGGCGAGACAGCAAGGAGGCGTCGTGCTCGCTGGTCGGGGTCGTGGAGCCGACAGTCTTGTTGGCGCCGGAAGCCAGCGAGGACTTCCAGGCGATGGCGGCAGCTGTGCAGGGGAACCCGGCAGTAGTCCTGCTCGACAGCGGCTGCTGGCATCACCTGATGGGGACGAAGGAGGTCTTCGTCAACCTGTAGCCGAGCGGCGACATCAAGCACGTGTGCGACTTCAATGGGGCGCTACAGGACGTCCAGGGCTGCGGCACTGTCGTTCTGCAAGGGGAGGCCGGGAAGCAGGTCCTTATCCCTGACGTGCTCTACGTCCCGGGCGTGCGAGCGAACCTGTTTTCGGCCGACTAGCTGAAGGAGAACGGCGTGAAACTGCAGGAGGACGGCAACGAGATGTTGCTCGTCTCGGCGGTGGGCGACGTCCTTGGTCGGGTGTCCTACACCAGCCGAGTCCTTTGCACTGACCTGCGCCCCTGCTCGACGAAATCGACATCGCCAACCACGGAGGTCGTGGCCCTGTGGGCGATAGTCTCGGCGACAAAGTCGACCGCGGACAGGCTGCACGCGAGGCTTGCGCATGTATGCATGGACACCATACGAAGCTCGGTGAAGCACGAGATCGCCACTGGGCTAGACCTCAAGTCGGCGTTGGGCGCCGACTCGCCGTGTATCTCGTGCATCGGCGGGAAGCTGACACAACACACCTTCCCCGACCAAGGCTCCGACGCTGACGACGTGCTGGCCGCTGTGCACATAGACCTATGCGGGCCATTCCGAGTGGCTGCCAAGGATAGCAGCCTGTACTTCTTATTGCTGAACGATTGCAAGATCCGCTATATGTGGGTGAGGCCGGTCGCCAAGAAGTCGGATGCGCTGCAGGAGTTTGTGCAATGGCTGGCGGTGGCTGAGCGACACACAAAGAAATCGGTGTTGATGCCGCGCTCTGATTGAGGAGGGGAGTTCCTCTGGAAGCAGTTCACCGACTTCGTGAACGGAAAGGGGATCGTTCACGACCTGACCTGCCTGTACACCCCGCAGCAGAACGGCATGGCGGAGCGAAAGATGAGAACGGTGGTGGAGTTGGTGTTGATGATGCTGCTGCACATGGGCGTGCTGCACATGGATGATGCTAGTGGCACCTCGCTCTGCGGCAGGCCGTCTGGGTCCGCAACTGCCTGGAGAGGTCGACGCTGTTGCCAGGGACGACGCCATACCTGCTGCTGACTGGGAAGAAGCCCGACTTGTCGCTGGCACGAGTGTGGAGCTGCATGGCGCAGTTCCTCGTCCCCGAGTAGCAGCGACGTGGGAAGCTAAAGCCGAAGGCCAGGTGGGGCCTTCACCTCGGCGTGTCAGAGGAGAGCAAGGGCTGGGAGCTCCTCAACATTGTTGACAACAGGGTGGTCACCACGTCGGACGTGGGGTTTTACAAGGACATGTCACTAGAGGTGTAGAAGTCAGAGCACGAGCCGGCGTCGGGACGGACACCTCGACGGCGACACTCCCTCTACTCGCCAAGGTCTGTGATCCTGCTCTTGAGGACGTCAAGGATGACCCCTCCCCTTCCCCTCCTGCTCCTCCCCTGATGGCCGACCTGCGTGGGCTGACTCCGGTGTCGGCCTCCGGCGATGAGGGGAGAATTGAGGCATCGCCTGTGGCGCTGGCCAAGCGCATCGCCGGTGGCCGACGTGACGTCCAGGAAGTCAACGTGAGGCTGAAGTCGACGCCAGCAGGAGAAGAGCAGTCCGAGGTAAAGACAACAGTGGTGAAGTCGGCGTCATTGGCAGGGCAGCAGCCCACAGGGGTGCAGGCAGCATCGAAGCCGACCAAGGAGCAGTCGGCGACCGAGAAGTCGGCCGGGGAGCTGACTACAGGGGAGAAGTCCGCAGAGGTGCCGGCCGTGGTGCAGCAGGATGCTGAGGGCAGCGACGCCAGTGATGATGGAGAGGACGCCGGGGAGTCCACCAACAGCAACGTGGTGGAAGTCCCGTGTGGACCACGGCGTACAGGCCGGATTCGGGGGCCGCCTGACTTCTTCTTTCCTGCTGCCTTCACCACGGTGTACGACGTGGACGATGACGATCTGGCGTATGACGACGCTGAGGACGATGAGGACCTGCCAGAGCTGGACCTTGATATGCACGCAGATCCCGAGCACCGCTGGGATATTTCTACGATGACGGTGAAGGAGGCGCTGTCGAGCTGGAAGGGCCAGGCCGTGAAGGCCGCCATGGAGGAAGAGATCCGCAGCCTCATCAACATGGGCACGTGGGAGCTAGTCGAACGGGCGCCGGGGGTGATTATCATGAAGAACCGGTGGGTGCTGACGACGAAGTACTGCATCGACGACACCGTCGAGCACGAGAAGGCGAGGCTGGTCGTGAAGGGCTTCACCCAGGTGTATGGCGCCGACTACGACGAGAAGTATGCGCCAGTGAGCAGCTACGTCATGCTGAGGATCTTCCTCGGCATCGTCACCGTCCTCAACCTCAACTTGATGCAGCTCGACATGAAGCACGCCTTCCTACAGAGCAAGCTCGACCGGGTTGCTGTACATGTACCAACTAGACTACTTCAACGACAGAACCGGCCGGGTGTGCAAGCTGCTGAACAACCTTTACGGGCTGAAGCAGTCGCCGCTGCTATGGTACAAGGCTCTCAGCGACGTGCTGGTCAGCGCCAGCTGGAAGAAGAGCCAGGTCGACACGGCCCTCTACTTCAAGGTCGGCAACAACAAGGTGGCCTGCTAGGTGCTGGTCTACGTCGATGACCAACTCGCCACCAGCAGTAGTGCCGAGATGCTGAAGGAGCTGAAGGAGCTGCTGGAGTCCGCCTTTGAGCTGCGTAAGATCTCGCCGGTTTAGAAGTACCTCGGGCTGGAAATCGTGCGTGACATGCTGGCGTGGCGAGGAAGCTGTGGCTGCTTCAGCAGGGCTACGCGGACAAGCTGCGTAGGCGCTTCATCAACGAGGAGCAAACTGGGCGCACTTTGAAGACGCCGGTCTCGGTCGACGCCTACGCCAAGCTCACCTTCGACGAAGAGGAGGCGCAGGAGCGCGAGGAGGAAGAGTACCGGCAGAAGGTCGGCTCGCTACAGTTCGAGGCGACGACGAGACGGACATCGCCTTCGCCTGCAGCAAGCTGGGAAGCGGCCTCACGGTAAGGAGCGACCAGCACTAGCGTGAGTCGACCGCTGCCTCGCCTACCTCTCCAACACACGTGACACTGCCCTGGAGTTTGCCGATGAGCCTGAATCGCTAGAGCTGGTCGGCTACGTGGACGCCGACGATGCCGGCGACAAGCAGGAGCGGACGAGCACGGGAGGCTACGTGTTCGTCTTTAGAGGAGCCGCGGTCTCCTGGTCGAGCCGGCGCATCAAGTGCGCGATGCTGTCGTCGGCCGAGTTGGAGTACTTGGCAGCCACTGAAGCTGGCAAGGAGGGACGCCGCCTTTGCTTCCTCCTCGCAGAGTTCCGGTAGCTGGATGCCGGGGAGCCGACCGTCCTTCGGGTGGACAACAAGTCGGCAATCACAGTCGCAGAGGGCATGGGGTTGACGGGAAACCTCAAGCACATGGAGTGGCGACAAGCTTGGCTGCAGCACATGGTGAAGCGCGGGAAGTTTTTGCTGAAGTACATCCCTACCGCTGAGTAGCCGGCCGACTTCCTGACGAAGGCGCTGCACTATCCGGCTTTCAACTGGTGCTCCGTCGCAATCGGCCAGGTCCGCCTGGCCGATGTGGGAGTCGGTGACAACGACGTGCAGCGGTATGTGCCATGCCCTCTTGCATGGCTGGTGCGGTGACCGGCGTGCTGTGTGTTGGGTGCACGCCGACGAGCTATTCTCCGAGTGGTACTCCCGTGTTGGCTGGGGGGGCCAAGCGTGAACACCGCAGGGGAGTGTCAACGGGAGTTGTTGTTAGGCCCCATCCTCGCTTAGGCAGAGCCGTTCTCGTGGTCGGGTGTACGGGGAAGTGCAATCGACCTGTAGTAGTGGGCGGACTCGTCGGCGAGGAGGCTGACTTGCGCGGGGGCCACTGCGATGGGCGTCAACTTCTGGGCGCCTAGTGTGGGGTGGTCGACTGTTGGTGCAACTCTACGGTTTGCACTCGGCTTGTTGTCCGTGTGCGTGCATGTGTGTGTGTATGGAATGGTATGAGGGCATGGGATAATATATATTTCATGCTTATAATTGTGTGTGAATGCTGAGTCATGATGTCGAGTGTGTGTGTCGAGTCAATAGCGAGTTATCGCTAGACGCGTGTTACGCGGTCGTTTGTGTCTAGCGCGCGGTTTCTATTTTGTCGTGCGCGGTTTCTATTATGTCCTGTGTTGAACGTTCGGCGTGTCGCAGGTGTGTGCAGAAGACCCATCAAGAACTCAAGGATGAGTTTGTGATGAAGAGCCCGAGCCTTGGTGTCAAGCCTCAAGTGATTTCGAAGCTCGCCAAAAGGGTACACCTCAAGATATTGAAGATAGTTACATTACTTTGTGTAGTGTAACATTTCACTTGGTGTAGGCCCTAATGAAGGGTAGTTTCGAGACCCTTCGTGGTTGGGGACAGTGTGGCACTGTTCCACATTACTGTACCTCGGCTCTTGGGGTTTGTAGGAGCTGGGAGTCATTCCCAACTCGTAACTCTTCATATCTCTTCCTATTTTGTGTTCTAAGACTATAGTGGCTGCCATAGTGCCGTTCGTTCAAACCGACACTGTGTCGTCAATACTTGGTGAAATCGTGCGATCTAAATTTCCTATTGTAGGCGACGTTAAGACGCTCCAGATCCAAGTTGAATCAGGTCATTTGAAGTTGTGACCAGAACGCTATGAACGTTTGAAGCCGCTGTGCAGAAATCCGGCTGTGCACTCTATCTTTCGTTTTAGGCACATTGGAGCCTATTGTGACTATAACATCGACCAGGAGGTCGACCGAACCTGGTGGTCGACGAAGGAGGGGCCAACGTCGACCTCGACAGGGAAGGCTGGGGACGTCGAGCTGGAGGGCGTCGAGTAGCAGGACGCCGAGCAGCTGGGCGTCGACTAGCAGGGCGTCGGGGTGGAGGGCGCCGACCTTGGGTGGCCGACGACTTGGCGAAGTCGGTGGCCTAGTCCCGAAGTGGTCGATGATGGGACACCGACCAAGGAGGACGCCGACCCGACGACGTCGACCTGGCTGCCCGGTCGACCGGGATACCCAGGCGACGTGTGCGACAGTCGCCGAGGTGGCTTCTACGAGGCCGACCTCGGGGGTGGGATCCCAAGATCAATGTGGCTGGTGGGCGCAATCGCTGGCGTGGAGTCTGCCAGGCGTCTGCGCTATGCTCGTGACAAGGAATGGTGCACCAACCAGCTGCGCGCATTTGCGAAGCAGATGCTTTGTTGTCCTGCAGGTACAACGTTGTGCGGCCGACTTGCTGCAGCGTTGGCACACTGTGGACTTGCAACGTTGGCAAGCCGCGACCATGCTCTGCTGGAGCGCGGTCGACCAAGTCGTGCTGGCATGCGGTCGACCGTGCTGCGCTGGAGGTCGACCATCAGCTTTGCTAGGCCTGATGTAGTCTTGCATGCCAATGTTGTTGCTATTATTGTTGTGAACTTTTGCTAGTGGAACTCTTGCCAACATTCCCCATGAACCAGCAAGTAGTGCAAGCACAAGTGAACGACTAAGGAACGAACGCAGAGATCACCCTTGCCTCGTGCCTAGCCCGTAGCCTAGCTCCCATTGTACTAGTTATCTCCGCAAGTGAGTTGCTGCGCTCAAGCACAGCGAGTGGCTGCGCGGCCTGCGAGAGGAGCTCATGCTGCTCAGGGTGAGATGGGGAGATGGCATTGCAGCACCTCATGCTCATTCTGCTGCGGGTGAGATGGCATGGCAGCACCTCATGCCACGGCAGCAGCGCTGCTCGCATTCTTCTCGCCATTCGCACCCTCCCCTCCTGGCACCTCCCCCGTCCTCCCATCCCCCTTCCCTTGTCTCCTTTGTCCCCACTCCTCTGCCCCCCTTCCTCCAACTCCCATATCCACCCCCACCGTCTCCCCCCTCCTCTCCCAACCCCACAGATGGAGCGGCAGAACTGCATGCTGGACCACACGCCCTCCCCCCGCCCCTCTTGCTTGAACTCCCATTCCACCCAAGGACGGCAGCAGTAGTAGTAGCAACAGCACCTGCAACAACAGCGTCAGCACAAGCAGCAGAAGCGGGAGTTATACCACGTGCCTCCGAGAGCCCCCTGCTCGCGGGCAGGCGCACCCATTGGTGCAGCAGCAGTAGCAGCAGCAGCAGCAGCAGCAGCAGCAACAACAACAACAACAACAACAGAAGCAGTTGACTCCTTGCCAGCCCTGCTCGCCCACTGGCCGCGCCGCCGCCACCACCACCGCCGCAACACCACCATTGGTGCGGGGTGAAAGTTGGGGAATGGGAGGGGAGGGCAAGGGCGAGGTTGCGGGAGGGGGGGAGGGAGATAGAGAGGGAGAGTTCGAGGAGGAGCAACAAGGGAGGAGAGGAAAATTAGGAGAAGTAAAGGAGGAGAGGAGGTAGTTAAAAAAAAAAACCTTGTATTCTCTTTACCCTCTCTCTCGCCGCTTTCCATACCAACTCCCATTGCCGTCGTCCTTCTTGCCATCTTTCTCCCCCGTTCCCGCCCCCCCAGGGTCGCTCACTGACTTGGACCGCAAAGCGGGTGGCAGCGGGTGGCATGCAGCAATGGTGGCGATAGAGGTGGTAGCAACGGGCGGGCAGCGCATGGTGCGCATGTGGGAGCGCTTGAAACGCATCATTCCGCCGCCCATAGGCTCCAACCTTGAGGCCTTTCTGATATGCAAACAACGAACACTTGGTGTGCATTTGGTAAGCGTTATTTGTTTTTGAAGTGTTTGCTGGGACCATTCGAGAGAGGTGCTAGCTGCTGAGAAAACTGAAACGAGGATGGAATGACTATGGAATGAGAGTGATACAAATATGCAACCCTAGAAATGTGTACCCCATATGGGCTACCCCACTAAAGCCTAGACAACATTATAATTTGACACACCCCCATAGGCAAAGTGGGGGAGAACAAGGGGTCACAAGACCAGTCAAGCAAAGCAAAGCAAAGCTCAGGGTGGATCACAAAGTCACCACACATTCCGAGCACAAGTTCAAGGCCAAAAGGCCAGTTCACATGCAGGAGCACATATATATATTAGAGGCTAAGCAAGCAAGAGCAGGAGTATATATATGTGACAGTACAAGCAAGGTCAAGAAGTGAGCAAGTGAGGCAAGACACGCACAAGACCAAGCTGAGTAGAGAGCGCTGATGATCACAAGGCGCAAGTGCCTTGGTGAAAACATCAGCAGTGTTGGCCTCAGAGGCCACGTACGCAAGCCGCAAGTGACCACGCTGCTGTAGCTCACGAGCAAGGAAGTAGCGAAGAGCAATGTGCTTTGTTCTGTGCTCCAGTCGCTGCTCTCGACACAAGGCCAGCATGGCCTTGTTGTCTACGTACAGGACTGGAAGAGAACGAGGCGGCTCTCCAAGGTCAGTCAGCAGGTAGGTGAGCCAGCGAAGCTCCTGTGCAGCCATGGCCCCGGCGTAGATCTCGGCCTCACAACTGGAGCCGAGAACAGAAGACGAGCGAGTAGCCCGCCACGAAACAGAGCCGGAACCAAGGCTGAAGGTGTAACCCTGTGACGACCGCTGCGTAGCCTGGTCGTCAGCCCAAGAAGCGTCCGCGTGCCCAGTGAGGACCACTAGACTCTGCCCTCCAAGCACTAGCCCCATGCCCGACGTACTGCACAAGTAGCGCAACACCCTCTTCGCTGCAGCCATGTGCTCTGGTCGGTGTCTCCGAGGAGCAACATAGCGTGCGAGAATGCTAAGAGGGTATGCAAGGTCAGGTCGTGTGCATGTCATCAGGTACATGAGGCAGCCAACAAGCTCTGGATACGGGCCACTCGACTCTACGGACTCATCCGAAGGCAGAGCTGAGAACGAGTGGCGAGTAGGCAGAGGAGTGGCCTGAGGCGAGGAGTACGTGAAGCCGAAGCGCTGAAGGACCTGCTGCACCATGTGTGACTGAGTCAGGGTAATGGTGCGGCGTGCTCCGTCCCGGGTGATCTGCAAGCCAAGGTAGCTGCGCAATTCACCCAGGTCTGTGCACGTGTGTCTCTTCTGCAGCTCGGACTTCACGTGGGCGAGTCCAGCAGTGTCAGCAGTGGCAAAGACCAAGTCGTCGACGTACACGAGGATGTAGAACAGCGGCAAAGAGGTGTCGGTGCGTAGAAACAGCGACGGGTCAGCAGCAGAGGGAGCAAACGCAAGAGCCGCAAGCGTAGTCCTCAGTGTGTCGTGCCACTCGCGCGGTGCCTGGCGAAGACCGTAGACTAGCCGTCGGAGGCTCCACTGGGTGCCAGGAGGGAAAGTCCCAGTGAAGCCAGGTGGACGGCGCAGCCAGATCTCCTCGTGCAGGCTACCCTGCAGGAAAGCAGTGCTGAAGTCAAGGGAGTGAAGCTCGTAGTCACGCTGAGCGGCTATGTGTAGCAGCACCCGAAGAGTGGTCATCTTCGGGGTGGGAGAGAAGGTCTGAAAGTAGTCAACTCCCTGCCGCTGACTGAAGCCACGAGCCACGTACCACGCCTTGAAGATAGGCGGAGAGCCCGGCGGCCGCTTCACCCTGAAGATCCACATGCCACTGACGATGTTCGCCCCAGGTGGGGGAACCGCGTCAACGTAGGTGCCTGTGGACTTCCAGGAAGCCATCTCTGCATCCATAGCTGCCTGCCACTGAGAGGAGTAGGGACCCTCTACGGCCTCCGCGTAAGAGCGCGGAGTCGGGATGTCAAGTGCATCCGGGTCTCCCTCAGGGGTAAGCAGTACGGACACGAGATGAGGTGAAGCAGCAGCCAGACACTGGAACTCCTCCTGCCTGTCCTCAAGGACGTCCGTGCCAAGAGCACACTCACCTCCGACGGACAGAGGACAGACAGACGCAGACTCAGCAACGAGACTAGCAGCGTAGTCTAGGCGACAGCGAGCAGCAAAGTCGACGAGCTCAGCAACAAGAGCAGACGCAGCAGTGGAATCAAAGGAGAGGTCAGTGACGACAGTAGCAAGAAGACGCGTGACAGTAGGACTGGCAGCACGAAGAGAGTCCGACTCCGGGTCGGCAAGGGCAGGAAGAGAGGACTCAGGAGGAGAAGGCAAAGGGGCACGCAGAGGAGCAGTGGACGGACGCAGAGACATCCGGTGCGTGCCAGGGACAGGAGGAGGACGCTGACCCGAACCGCGACCACTAGCGCGAGCAGCACGAACAGGCGACGCAGGACGAGACGCAGGCTCACGACGCTCAGCAAGACCTCCTGTAGGACCAGTGTAGGGAGAAGGAGCAGGCAGTGGGGAGGCCGGCTGTAACTGTAACTGTGACGGGACAGGCTGTGGACACTCTAAGGGAGGAGGACCAGTAGAAGGCGGGAGACCAAGAACCTGCTGAAGGAGCGTAACGAAGTACGGTCGAGGCCGCACAGCGACTCCAGACACAGCAGGGACAGCACCAGGACCCCCAGTGGCAGCACCAGCACCAGCAGCACCTCCAGCTCCAGTACCTCCAGCAGCACAAGTAGCACCCTCAGCAGCAGCAGAACCTCCAGTACCCGCAGCACCTCCAGCTCTAGCAGCTCGCCTCCAGCGCTGGGCAAACCACTCACGCAGCTCCTGTGGAGAGAGTGGCTCCCGGCGAGACGAAGCACCCGGAAAACCGCCAGGCTCAGCACCGCAAGACGCCCCACAAGCAGGCTCAGCTCCCTCAGGCTCAGCACCTCCAGGCGTAGCACCCCCAGGCTCAGTACCCCCAGGCTCAGCACCCCCAGGCGTAGCACCCCTAGGCTCAGCACCCCCAGACTCAGCACCCCCAGGCTCAGCACCCCTAGTCGTAGTACCCACACGCTCAGCACCCCCAGAGTCAGCACCCTCAGAGTCAGCACCCCCAGGCTCAGCACCCTCAGCAGCACCAGAGTCACCAGCGACCTCGACAGGCTCGACAGCGTCTACCTGGGACACACCTGAAGGGGCAGGACCCTGAGGGGGGAGGGGGTCTACCGGGGGGGGACCTGGCACAAGGAAGAGCGGTGGCGGGGGGAGGGACGGAGTGCGGTAGGGGAAGAGACGGTAGTAGGGGACCGACTCGTCGAACGTGACGTCCTGGGAGGACAGAACACGGCGAGAGGTGGGGTGGTAGAACTGCCACCCTGGCGCGTCAGGGGGGAAACCCAGGAAGACGCAAGGAGCAGCACGAGGGGACAGCTTGTCCGCAGACAAGCCGCGAACAAACGTCCGAGATCCCCAGACACGGAACACAGACGCATCGCCGATCTTCCCCGTCCACAGCAAGGCTAGGGAGGTCTCCGGCATGGAGACCCTGGGCTGAAGGTTGATCTGATGCGCCGCGTACCGGACCGCAAACGGCCACAGAAAATGGGGGGCAGCCGCATGCATCATGGACGTACGGGCGACGTCCATGACCATGCCAATGCGGCGCTCAGCAATCCCATTTTGCTGTGGAGAGTTCGGAAGCGTGAAGGTCTGGCGGATGCCTCGTGCACGACAGTAGGCTCGCAGAAGGCCAGAGGAGAACTCTCCGCCTCTGTCAGAGTGCAGACGCAGAACAGGAAAGTCCGAGCCGAAGCTCCGCCTGAGCTGGAGACGAGCTGCGCGGATCCAGTCGATCAACACCTCAGTGACATCACCCTTGCTGCGCAAGGGGAAGACTGTGGTGTAACGCGAGTAGTCGTCAACCACCAACAGGAAGTAGCGCTCGTGACCGTGTCCACGGACGCGGGCCGGGCCCCACACGTCCATGTGAAGCGTCTGCAGCGGGGCCTCTGTCAGAGGAAACTGGGAGGAGTGAGGGGCAGCCCGCTGCCGCCCCTCGACACAGGGGACGCAGGTAGGGCCAGGCCCCGGAGGAAGGGGAGGGAGGGACCGCGGAAGACCAGAGACAAGGACACCGGAGGCCATGCTTCGGAGACGAAGCAGGGAGGGGTAACCAAGGCGGTGGTGCCAGAGGAGAGTCTCGTGAGACAGGAGGCGACACGAGCAGGGGGCAGACTCAGGACCAGACCTAGACGTTGTAGCTAACACCTGACCCGACGCAGCTACCTGACCAGACGCAGGGACTGGAGGAGACGCAGTGGTCAGTGTGTTCAGGCTTGACCCCGGCCGACGTGTAAACGTGGCCAGGTGTCGGCCTGTCCGAGCGTCCGTGCGGTGGGTCACCCGCTGACTCGCAGGAGTGAACTGGTGAACCCCCGCATCCTGCAGGTCAGCACCACTCACCAAGTTCGTAGAGAACGAGGGGAGGTAAAGACCAGACAGGGTGCCAGAGGGGGCCGCCGGACACGGGAGGACAGTGGAGAAGTGAGCAAGGACAGGGCCCCTAGAGGGGTCTGTTAGAGAGACTGCAACTGGCCGACCAAGCGGCGTGAGTGTGGTGCGGTCTCGAAAGAAGGAGCGGGAAGCCCCCGAGTCAAGGGTGAAGGTGTGAGAGGCCGGAGCCGACGCGGTACCTGAGAGAGCAGACTCACCCGCACCTGAGGAAGCAGACTCACTAGCACCTAGAGCAGCAGCCGCACCTGTACCTGGAGCAGGAGACATACTAGCACCCAGAGCAGCAGCCTCACCAGCAGCTAGAGCAGCAGGCTCGATACCCGGGTCAGGCGGTACGCAGAGGTGACCGGCACGGTCAGCACTAGTAGGCAATGCATACATGGCAGTGAGAATAGCATCATAGTCAGGAGCAAATATATCTACCCTCTGCCTAAGCAACTCCACCCAGTCGGGGAGCTCAGCCTCGTCGCCAAACTCGGTACGCCAAGCGTCGCTCAAACGGGCGAAGCAGCGGGACTGTGTGTGACTAGGCGTCCCACAAGGCTGACCAGTCCGAGCACCAGTGCGAATCACGTAAGAGCAGCGAACAGAACTGAGAGACCCTCCACTCTGAGCGTACCACTCACGAAGCTGCTGGGGCGTGAGAGACGTGCGTGGGGGTCGCTGGAGCTGCATCTGGACGCCGCCAGTAGTAGTAGCACTAGTAGCGCCGCCACCCCTACAACCCCAACCAGCGTACCACTCACGCAGCTGCTGGGGCGTGAGGGACTCGCGCGGACGTCGCTAGGGCTGCATCTGGCTCCGCCAGTAGAAGCAGGAGCAGGAGTAGCCGCAGTAAGGCAGGCAGCCAAGCAAGCGGCAAGCAGCGCGCTAGTAAGGCAGAGGCTCACCAGTGGTGGGAAGAGCAGGCTCGACGACTCGGCGACTCGGCGGTGCGGGCGGCTCGGGCGGCTCGGGCGGCTTGGCGGCACGGCGGCACTGCAGCAACTGCGGCTCGGCGGCTCGGGCGACTCGGGCGACTCAGCGGTACGGTGGCTCGGCAGCAACTGCAGCGCGGCGGCTCGGCGACTCGGCGGCTCGGGCGGCTGAGGTGGCGCTGCGGCTCGGGCGGCTCGGGTGACTCGGGTGGCTCGGCACTAGCTCGGCGGCGCCGGCGGCTCGGTGGTGACGGCGGGGCCGCTTGGGGACGGCGGCGGGGCCGGGTGGAGCGGCGACGGGGCCAGTTGAGGTGGCGCCGGGGCCGCAGGGTAGGCGTCTGGGCCAGCAGAGGCGGCGCCGGGGCCAGCAGAGGTGGCGCCGGGGCCGGGAAGGGCAGCGCCGGGGCCGCAGGGGTAGGCGACGGGGCCAGTAGAGGCGGGGCCGGGTCGGGAAGAGCGGCGTTGGGGTCGCCGGGGTAGGCGACGGGGCCAGCCGAGGTGGCGCCGGGGCCTGGAAGGGCGGAGCCGGGGCCGGGAAGGGCGGCGCTGAGGCCGCAGAGGTAGGTGACGAGGCCACTAGGGCGGCAGATCGGGGCCGCGAGGGCGGCGCGACGCGGCCGCTAGGGCGGCGCGACGGGGTAGCGGGGCCGCGCGCCTCGGGGCGCGCTCCAGAAAGAAAATCGAGATGAAAATAGGTCGCACGCCACGGGGCGTGCGACAAATCGAGTAGCAGCGGAAGCAGTAGTAGGGCCCTATGAACATTTCCCACGAGGGAACCTGCTCGATACCATGAGAAAACTGAAACGAGGATGGAATGACTATGGAATGAGAGTGATACAAATATGCAACCCTAGAAATGTGTACCCCATATGGGCTACCCCACTAAAGCCTAGACAACATTATAATTTGACAGCTGCTTCATGCACGGCTGGCATCAGCCTCTGAGCATTCCAACTTGCTCCGCCCCTCATCGCCGTTGAATTTCCACCCACCACGTTTTCCCGCATCCTCTTCTCTCAGCAGGACGCTTTTCCACGCCTCTCTCTTCTCTCGCCTCGCTGCCCCACGCACAGCATCTCAACGACAGCGCCAGCTTGGGGGCAAGCATGGGCACGAGCATGGGCACGAGTATGTGCACGGGCATGGGCATGGGCATGAGCATAGGCATGGGCATGGGCATGAGCATAGACATGTGCATGGGCATTGGTAAGGGCATGAGTGGAGGGGGGAGTGTGATTCAGCTGCCAGCGGGGATGACGCTGGTGTAGGCGGGCCGTGTGGTAGAGGCGGTGCTGGCGGGCCATGTGGTGGAGGCGGTGCTGGCAGGCCGTGTGGTGGAGGTGTTGCTGGCGGGCCGTGTGGTGGAGGCGGTGCTGGCGGGCCGTGTGGTGGAGGTGTTGCTGGTGGGAAGCGTGCCGCGCAACCAGAGGGGCGCTGCCTGGGTCGCCATCGCCACCGCCCAACCCGGGTGCACGTGCTGATGCTGTTGCCTTGCCTGCTCTGCCACAACATGCACCTCTGCTTGGTTCTGCCTCAATGCACATGACACCTACCACACCTCAACCTCTCCCCCTCACCCTCTCCCACTCACCGTCCCCCCCTCACGCTCTCCCTCACCCTCGCACCCTCTCCTTCCCCTTCTCCTCATACCGCCAAGACACCTTGGCGGATCGCAGCAGTTACGCCGCTGCAGGTGAGCTCCCCGCCCCCACACACACACGCCAAGTGAGCTTCCCGCCCCTACACACGCTTGTGGCAGGCCACACACACGCTCGTGGTAGGCCAGACAAACAGTTCTCTTGCCCCCCCTCCACCTTTTTGCCCTCTCTTATCACTGCATACCCCATCCCTCCCATTCATCCTGGTCCCCCCAACCCCTTCCCCCGCCCTGCTGGCAGGAATATAGAGCGGGACATCAACAGCACCTTCCTCAACCACCGTCTTTTGAGGAGGAGAGGGGCGCCTACCAGCAGTCGAACGTCATCAACGCCTACTCCGTGCGCCCCCCCGCCCCCACCCCCCTTCCCCTGCCCTGCCCTGCTATGTGCTCTTTGCTGCTGCTCCCTGCTGCTCCCTGCCTTGTTGCTTCCATCTCTCACCAGCCAGCACTCGCTCTTCAACGTCATCAAGGCATACTCCATACTGCACCCATGCCCTGCTCTGGCCTGCCCCGCCCTGACCTGCCCTTCCCTGCTATGTGCTCTCTAATGTTCCCCTCTTCTCTGCTGCACCCTTCTGTTTTTCGGTGCCCTGTTTTGTGCCATGCCATGCCCACCCTGTCGTTCTCTTGCATTCTGGTCCTTACTCTGTTCCTGCCTTATTTCTTCCCTCCTCGTCTCTCGCCCCTACCCTGCGGTCTAGCACGCTACACCGGACGAGTCCTCTGCACCGACCTTCGCCCCTGCTCGACGTGGTCCCCGTCGACTGAGGTGGTGGCTCTGCGGATAATTGTCTCAGCGACGAAGACAACCCCTGCCCTGGTGCATGCGAGGCTCGCGCACGTCGGCGTCGACACGATCAAGAGCTCGGCAAAGCATGAAGTTGCCGTTGGGCTCGACATCACGCCGTCGACCGGAGCAGATCCGCCGTGTGTCTCGTGCGTCGGAGGGAAGATGGCGTGGCACACCTTCCCCGACAAGGGCTCGGACGCCGAGGAGGCACTTGCTGTCGTGCACATTGACTTGTGCGGGCCATTTTGGGTGGCTGCCAAGGATGGCAGCTTGTATTTCCTGCTGCTGAAGGATCGCTACACTCGGTTTGTGTGGGTGATACCGGTCGCTAAGAAGAGCGACGTGCTGCGGAAGTTCTAGAAGTGGCTGGTGCTGGTGGAACGACAGACAAAGAAGTCGGTACTGTCGCTTCGCTCCGATCGAGGAGGGGAGTTAGTCGGAAAATTGTTCACTGAATTCGTCGACGGGAAGGGCATCGTCAACGACCTGACGTGCCCGTATACTCCGCAGAAGAACGGCATGGCGGAGCGGGAGATGCGCACGGTCATCGAGTCCGTGTGGAAGATACTGCTAGACATGGGCGTGCAGCATCACTGGTGGCACCTTGCTCTTCGACAGGCTGTCTGGGTGCGCAACTGCTTGGAGCGGTCGACGACACTGTCGGGGACAACTCCATACCAGCTGCTGACCGGGACGAAGCCCGATCTCACGCTGGCGCAGGTGTGGGGCTGCATGGTGGAGTTCATGGTTCCTGAGCAGCAGCGCGGTGGGAAACTGGCGCCGAAGGCTCGCTGGGGACTTCACATGGGTGTGTCCCCGGAGAGCAAGGGCTGGGAGGTGCTCGACCTGACCGACAACAAGGTGGTCAGGTCGGTCGAGGTGATCTTCTACGAGACGCACGCGCACCCGCCGACGGACACCTCGACGGCGACGATTCCGTTGCTCGTCGAAGTCGACGAGCCTACTGTTGAGGATGTTGTGGAGGTTCTTTCCCCTCCCCTTGTCCTTGCTCCTCCATTCCCCGTCGCAGATCGGCCTGGGTCGGCACCTGTGTCGACCACCGACGATGAGGGGAGCCTTGAGGCGTCGCCTGTGGCGCCGGCCCATGGCATCGCCGGCGGTCGACAAGGCGTCAAGCTCGTCGACCAGGATGGGAAGCCGTCGGCAATAGAGGAGCAGCAGACAGGGGAGCTGGTCGAACAGGAGGCAACAGTAGTGGTGCAGTTGACAGGGGAGCAGCAGGCGGGGCGGTCGACAGGGGAGCTGTCGAAGTCAGAAGCAGACGAGCAGCCTGTCGAAGGGTCGAAGCAGGTGGTCGACGACGAGGACGTCGATGAGGAAAGGGAGCAGTCGGCGGGTGAGGAGTCAACCGAAAGCGACGTGGAAGAAGTGCCGATCACGAAGCCTGAGCTGCGACGCACAGGTCGAGCTCGACGGCCACCGGAGCGGCTGAGCTTCCACGCCTGCCTACCGCCAGTTGCCTTCACCATGGTGATCGACGAGGTCGACGACGCCCTGTTGTACGACGACGCCGAGGAGGATGACGACCTGCCAGAGCTCGACCTCGACATGCATGCCGACTCCGAACACCGCTAGGACATCGCCACGATGACGGTGAAGGAGGAACTGTCGAGCTGGAAGAGCGAGGCGGTGAAGGCCGCAATGGAAGAAGAGATTCGCAGCCTCATCGGCATGGGAACTGGGGAGCTTGTCGAACGCCCACGTGGGGTGAACATCATGAAGAACCGGTGGGTGCTGACGACCAAGTACCGCATTGACGACACCGTCGAGAGCGAGAAGGCGAGGCTGGTCGTCAAGGGCTTCACGCAGGTGTACGGTGCCGACTACGACGAGACGTACTCGTCGGTGAGCAGCTACGTCACGCTGAGGATCTTCCTCAGCATCGTCGCCGTCCTCGACCTCAACCTGATGCACCTCGACATGAAGAACGCTTTCCTGCAGAGCAAGCTCGACAGGGTGCTCTACATGTACCAGCCGGACTACTTCGACGACGGGACCGGCCGGGTGTGTAAGCTGCTGAAGAGCCTCTACGAGCTGAAGCAGTCGTCGCCGCTGTGGTACAGGGCTCTCGACAGTGTGTTGCTGGGCGCTGGCTGGAAGAAGAGCTAGGTCGACGAGGCGCTCTACTTCAAGGCCGGCGATGACGGAGTGACCTGCTGGGTGCTGGTCCACGTCGACAACCTGCTCGCCGCCAGCAACAGCACCGAGGTGCTGAAGGAGCTGAAAGAGCTGCTGGAGGCCGCCTTCGAGCTGCGTGAGATCTCGCCGGTGGTGAAGTACTATGGGCTGGAGATCGTGTGCGACAGGGCGGCTAGGAAGCGGTGGATGCACCAGCAGGGCTACACCGACAAGCTGCGCATGCGCTTCATCGACGAGGAGCAGGACGGTTGAGTCCCGAAGACGCCGGTCTCGGTCGACGCCTACGCTCAGCTGACGTTCGACGACGAGGAGGCTCAGGAGCGCGAAGAGGAGGAGTACTGGCAGAAGGTCGGCTCGCTGCAGTTCGCGGCGACGACGACGAGGCCGGACATCGCGTTCGCCTGCAGCAAGCTGGGGAGCGGCCTCACGATGAGGAGCGACCAGCATTGGCGCGAGGTCGACCGCTGCCTCGCCTACCTTGCCGATACCCACGACACCGCCCTGGAGTTCAACGGTGGACCAGAATCGTTGGAGCTGATCGGCTACGTGGATGCCGACGATGCGGGCGACAAGCAGAACTGGACGAGCACGGGAGGCTACGTGTTCGTCTATGGAGGGGCCGCCGTCTCCTGGTCGAGCTCGCGCATCAAGTGCTCAACATTGTCATCGACCGAGTCGGAGTACGTGGCGGCCACGGATGCCGGCATGGAGGGGCGTCGACTTTGCTTCCTCCTTGCGGAATTCAAGCTGCTCGACGCTGGGAAGCCGACCATCCTCCGCGTCGACAACAAGTCGGCAATCACGGTCGCTGAGGGCTTGGGGCTGACGGGCAACCTCAAGCACATGGAGCGACGCTACGCCTGGCTGCAGCACATGGTGAGGCACGGGAAATTTATGCTGAAGTATATCCCAACCATCGAGCAGCCGGCGGACTTCCTGACGAAGGCGCTGCATTTTCCGGCTTTCAACCGGTGCTCTGTCGCCATCGGCCAAGTTCATCTGGCCAACGTCGGCGACGGCGACGACGAGGTGCAGCAGGAGGTGCCGTGCCCTTCTGCACGGCTGGTGCGGTAATGGCGTGCTGTGTGTGGGGTGCACGCCGAGGACAAGTTTTCTCCGTGGAGTACTGCCGTGTGGGCTGGAGGCCCAAGCGTGAGCGCGGCAAGGGAGTGTTAACAGGAATGGAGTGTTGGCCCCGCCCTCGCTTGGGCAACGCCGACGACTTGGTCGGATGTACGGGAGTAGCAGCCAACTTTTCACAGTGGGAGAGCTGCTCGACAGGCTTTGTCGAGCTGCAAGGGACTGCTGTGGTGTTGCTGTCGACCAGGGAGCTCGACAGCTGCAACTGCCTGGTCTGGGCGACAGGTGGGACGTCGACCAGGACCTACAGCTCGACCGGGAGGTCTCCGGAGCATCCCGTCGACCTGCCGTTCGACCGGTAGGTCTCTGGAGCATCGCCTCGACCTACAGTTCGACCGGGAGGTCGACGGAGGAGTCCGTCGACCGGACAAGTGAGCAGCGGTCGACGAGGGGAGCTCGGCAACAACCGCTGACAGTTCTGGTCGACGGAAGGGGTCCGTCGACCAGGGGGTAGCTCGAGGGGAGTTGTGGTCAACAAGAGGGACCTGGGGATCGACCAGAAGCAGTGGTGGTCGACCAGAAGCACCTGGTGGTCGTCTGGGTCGACCGGGTAACCTACTCGACGAGTTTCGCGGAGGCACGCGAACGTCGTCAAGGTCGCGATGGCGAAGGCGACTGCGAGCTGGTATCCCGAAGTCGATGTGGCTCGTGAGGCGTAGACAACAGCCGACAGATGCCCAACGAGGCAAGTGGGGCCAATTGTCTGCGCGCACTTGCGAGCGTGCGCACTG